ATTTCCATATAGATCATCTCTTTCAAGTTACCGTACATCCAACTAGGTTAACGAACGCCCTTTTAGCACGAATATCACAAAAACACAACATACAGTATGCATCTTGACGATAGGAGTAAAGGTTTCGTCATAACCAATATCATACTCTTGTAGGAAACCTTGTGCCATCACACATGCTTTATACCTTTCGAGCATTCCATCCAAGTGCAACTCCACAATGAAGACCTAACGACTGCCAATGACAAAAAAATTAGGTTCACAAGGGGCAAGATCCCATGTGTGATTTACTTTAAGATCCCCAACTCCACTTATATCGCCACTTCCGAATTATGACCCCCTTGGCCTCGACATAACTATAGGGTATAAAAATTGGTGTCGTGGAGAAACCTACATAGTCTTGCATGTGTGGAGGGGGTTTAAAGTGGGATCGTCGAAGATGAGCTTGAACTTCAGCTGGAGGTGGGGAAATCTGATGAGCATTGGACATGTCCGATGCATTGGACCCTGAAATTGAGTGATGAGAGTGAGCCGAGCTGGGAGATGAGTTCCCAGAGCATGAGGTCGAGCAACCCGAGTTGGAGGACGACCCGCGACTGCCTTTAGTCACAACGTGAAGCTAGAGGAGCTAAAAGATGATCCAAAAGCAAAAAAATGACAGGCAGGCAATAGAGTATTCATCAAGCACGCCATTGGGATGCCTAGTGTAATCAAACTGAGGTAGAGACATTAGAAAATCCAAAAAATGCGTGCCATGCAAGTCATCTTGTGACATCGAATAATACATCACCTGTTCTAAGAAAACTACGTGACACAGATTCTCTTACGACAAACCATATGGTCGTAGCAGAAGTACCCTTTATGCTTATTGTTGTAACCAATAAACATGCAACGAGCAGTTTTCGGTTATAGCTTATGACGTTCTCTTCGAGGGAGTAAGACAAAGCACACACATTCGAAATCACGTAGAACTTAATAATTGGTGATTTTCCAAACAACTTCTGGTATTGTGAACTCTGTCCAGACAAGGGTGTAACCTATCAATTGATTAGCCACGTACACAACAGTATGCAACCGCTTCAACCAACAAACGGTGGGAACTTGAAAGTGAAACAATAGAGCTCTGGTGAGTTCTAAAATATGCCAATGTCTGGTAGATGAATGTGGATGTCCCAAACGACAATTCCATAAGTCTCAAGTAGAAGCTGTAACCGAAAAAATTCCAAAGGCTTAACCGAATAACCCATAAAACTAGACAACCCATAATCCATACAATCTGAAAAATCCATATCCAAAGAATCCGGTACCCTATAATCTTGAACCGTACCAACAATACCATCCTTTCTCACCGTTGAGACTTCTCCAACACAAGCTTCCCCTCTGCGATCTTCCCTTTCGCTTCCCCAACCACGTGCTGGCTCCTCCACCGTACATCCTTGAAGTTCATCCAACATAAATATCCGTCCAGGTTTACTTCCTTTCTCGAGTACCTTCCCCAACCTCTGATCCTTCACAACACAACTTGCAAAATTAACTTGACTTCACACCCATCTTCAGCTAACTGACTGAACGATACTAAGCTTGGAATATACTTGGGAACATATAGCATTTTGGAAGAGTAACCAAGCCAGTGGAAGACGTGCCACAAGCACGCATAGACAAGTGAATCCCATTGGCTACTTAAAGGTGGACGTGTGGGGACGAACAAAAGTGAGCAAAAGAGGTAAGACTAGGCATCATGTGATTAAAAGCTGTCGAATCGAGAATCCAACATAGATTTTTACATGAAGCAAGACCAGTAGAGAAGCCAAAAGTAAGGGCATTGGGAAGAGCCTCTTTGAGTGCCTCTTGAACAAGCTGATGGATCAAATCCATGGAGAATTGGGACAAAGGAGAGACTACGGATGTGGTGGAAGAAGTTGGAGCAGGCTCCGGATGTCACGATCACCTTGAGACAAACGACCAATCTCAAGTGTGAGTTCAAACTGTTGGGATACACTCATCTGTGAAGGGGTACGATCAATATGCTACCACATCTTATAATGTGATTCCCCGTAGAAGGGACACCCGACTAGAATTGACAAATTCCCGACCTGGTATTTTAAAGGGAGATCGGGTCATCGGTCCAGAAGCACCCCGACCAGGTATTATGAACGGGTTTCGGGCTGGCAGATTTGGGCCTTCCTTTTAGGTTTAGGTTTTTTTTCTTTTTGAGTTTTTGATTATTTTATTTGCCCTGGGGTATATAAAAGGTTGTAACCACAAATTTTAGAGTTAGAGAATTTTGTTGAATGAAAATTAACTATGAGGAGTTTTTCCTCATGGAGCATGAGTGCTTATGGTTAGCTATCGCTGGATTCCATAGCTAGGGCAAGATCCTTGTTTGAGTTTTTCTGTTGACGATTCCAAACGAGCTTGGAAAGACTCCTATCAATCAAGCGATCACACTTGATTGTGACAAGTATCTATCTCCACGTATCCCTTTAATTTTATTTCCGTTTGAAGGTCGATTCGAGATATCTGAGCTTGAGTTATTGTTGCAGGACTTTGAAAAAAGAAACTAAACTTTTACGAGCTTGGAATCTAGTCAGGTGGTATCAGAGCCCTGTTCAAATCAGGAGAAGAAGAAAAAGAAGATTTGGCGATGGCTGAAGCAATAGAGCAAGGTAAATGTTCTATACTCGTTGTTTGGCTCAAGAGAAGGTTTATTATGTGCTTGTAGATGGAGGGATAAAATCAAATTTGATCAACTCAAGAACAATGATGAAATTGGAGATGTCAATGCGTGTGCATCCAGCTCCATACATCCTATAGTTTCCGAGAAGATTTCCAGCATCGTGGTTGGACAGATTTTTGTGAAGTTTGCGATTGGAAGATATGAAGACAAGGTATTGTGCGATGTGCTGTCCAATTTTACAAATCAGATTGTGTTGGGACAAGCCTGGTTCACAATCGAGGAGTTCATTTGGACAGCAGAAGATCCAAAAGCTTCTGATTACCGCATCAGAAGAAGGTCTTCGTTTTGAAACCTATATCTCCAGAGGTGGCTGATGATGATTGGAACTCTTTGCAACGATTACAACGAGAGTATGAAGAAGAAGCCTTGAAACAACTTGCAAAACAGATGGATCGGGTGGGAGCCTTGTTTCAAATCATAGCTGAACCGAGATCGAGTTCGAGTTCTCCGGTGCAGCAGAGTGCATACGTTTCTCGGTTAGAGGAAGACAACGTGGAGCTATAGGTTGATTCAATAAAGTCGGAGCTATCGCTATGTGAGGTTTTTGAAGTGACCAAGGTCGAAAAAGAGGAGGACTAGCCCTTACAAGCTTGGTCAGTGAAACCTTTATTGCAACCATTGAAGATCAAGATAAATAGATGGATTCTTGAGTTTATGTGCCCCAAATCCCAAGCAGGCAGATTGAATGACGACTTGCATTTCACAGATCATGGACTAGAGCCTGTGTATGTCGAGTTGTCCGAGCTCTTGTGTCCGTGGAATTATGAAGATTGGTTGTTCTTTGTTGATGATGATGCAGGAAATTTTGTTTGAAAGCCGGACTAGAAAGCTTTGAGGGCAAAGCTTCTTCAACAGGGACTCAGGGAGGGACTGATGTGATTCCCCGCAGAAGGAATACCCAACCAGAATTGAAAATACCCGACCGGGTATTATGACCGAGTTTCTGGTTGGTCGAGTTCGGCCTTCCTTTTAGATTTATGTTTTTGTTTCTTTTTGGGTTTTTGATTATTTTATTTTCCCTGAGCTATATAAAGGGTTGTAAACGCGAATTTTAGAGTTAGAGAATTTTGTTGAATGAAAATTAACTCTGAGGAGTTTTTCCCCGTGGAGCATGAGTGCTTATGGTTTATTGGTTTAGCTATCGGTGAATTCCATATCTAGGGAAAGATCCTTGTTTAAGTTTTCCTGTTAAAGATTCCAAAAGAGCTTGGCAAGACTCTAATCAATTAAACGAGCACACTTGATTGTGACGAGTATCTCTCTCCACATATCTCTTTAATATGTTCGTTTGAAGGTCAATTCGAGCTATCCGAGCTTGAGTCATTGTTGCGCGACATTTGACAAAAGAACCTAAACTTTCATGAGCTCGTGATCTTATCATCTTGATAGCAGTAAAAAATTGACACAATCCTACAGCAGTGGGTATGTCGACGCTCAAAACGAGCCATGTTACGAGCTGCGCATTGGCTGCAACCCAATTCTCACGATCCTTCATCGTCGCATTAATAGTAGGAGGCTTAACCTCTCCCAACAAGACACCAAGGAAACACTTTCCAACAAAAAAAGTTTCTGAATTGAAATTCCCAAAGCGGGAAGTTCTCATCGTCGAACTTAATTGCAACCGGACCCAACTTCGAGGAATCCATATTGCAAGCGTTGATGGACACGAACGAACCAAAAGCCAAAAGAATCCTCCTAAGCAACGCCTCAACAAATCTTCACATGAACCCAAAAACCCTAGGCAACGAGCTGAAGATGCGTCGCCAACGAGCAACAATAAGCTGTGAAGTTGAATAAACAAACGAGATGTTGTAGCAAAAACAAACGGATCAAAAGACGAGCTTCGATACCATGTCAATTCAGCAATACCAAACATAAAGAACACGATGAGTCAGGAATCCCCAGGAGAGAGATAGCACTCTCCAAATCAACTCTTGTCTGCATTACCTTCCACCGTTTACAGATGATACATATTCATAGATTCGGCAGGACAAACCCAAGATACAATTCTAGTGGTATATTACAGGTTGGTACTCGTAGTTTACAATTTAACAAGTATAGGGCCTTTAATAGCTACATAGTCGTCGATGGTAAGATAGTCTAGTTGGTAAAAGGGTTGGGTTTCGGGTTTGGCATGTGACAAGGTCCCAGGTTCGAATCCCACTACCACCCTCTTGGTGTTCCCGGAGGCACCCTTGGTATTTCGTCTCCACGATGATGGTATAAAAAATAGCTATATAGTCCTTTATTTTAATCAAGCGATTCTACCTTTGCTCCATCTGTTCTTCGTATTTCGTTCCACGTATGCAGGTTACGTCCAACAAAATTTAATTCATCATTACATTAGAATACGAAGCTACATCACAAGACCGCCAAAAGTTACAAGCCACACAAATTGAGTAACAAACAAACACGCATTGCCTCTGTCTGCCTCCCTTGATAGTTGGTACTGAGTTTCGTTAGCGCGCCGTGGGGAAACAGTGGCCCCCACCCCGTACCGTTCCTTTTCGTAACCCCCGTTTGGCCTGGCCTTCTTCTCCAATTTATAAGCACAGAAGCTGGGCTTCCCCATTCCGTCGCTCTAATTCAGCAACAGCCTCTTCTCAATTACCATTTCCCCTTTTCTTCTTCTTCTTCTTCTTCTAGTTTCCTTCCTTCATCTGCTCGTAGTTCGTCTCCCTCTGTTAAACCTCAACACGGTTTCTCCTTCTCTTCCGTTTTTTTTTTTTGTCTCCGTCGTCGCTCTTTCGATCGGGGAATCAACTACCGTTTCCTTCGACAGGAGTACGAGCGCTCTCGCTTTTCTGAAGAATCTTCAGTCAGAATCCAGAGGTAAGATTGTGGGTGGCGTAGTTCTTTGTAGTCTGTAGAGATAAATCATATCTTTGTTGTATCTGTACCACTCGTCTATCGTCATCAATTATCCTGTATTTTTTTCCGTGGTGTTGTGCTTTTCTCATGGATTAAAACTCTGCAATCGATTTGCTGTTTTACGTCTGTCTGTGTGCTTATGAAATTGAGCTCTGTGGCGGAAATTTTTTCTAGGATAGGAATGGCTCATTTGCACAACAATGATCTCGCGTACGTTGTCGATGAGTATTACGACTCCGAATTCGAAGAGGAGCCGCAGCTTCAGAAGAGGGACGAGCTGGAGTCGCTAGACTCGGACTTTGAAGACGATTTTGAGTTTGTATGCTCTAGCGCAGAGACTTCAATTCTTCTTTGTGTTTTGTTCATTTTTGTTGTTGTTGTTGTTTTGCTACGATGGATGTCCTGATGGCGGGAATTCGAATGGCTGCGCCTTTTTTTTGTTGTTGTTGTGCAGAACAACTCGACGACTGACACAACTGCTGTGGAGTTACGGAGTGGGAAGGATATACAAGGAATTCCATGGGAGAGGCTCAATTACACTAGGGATAAGTACAGGGAGACGAGATTGAAGCAGTACAAGAACTACGAGAACCTATCTTACTCTCACGAGCAGATCAACAAGGTTGGCCAACTGAAACCTTGAGAGTTTCTGCCTAATCTGCTGCACTTCTGTATCATTCTGCAGATCTAGTTCTTCTAGATATAGAACTGCATCTTGCTAATCAATTCATTTATCTTGAAAGAAACTATATTGCAGTTTTGTTTACTATATGCAAATCCTTTGAGCCGTCGTGTTTTGCTTTTGTGAATCCATGTTCCTTTAGGCTAGTTTGAACAGCTACCGTTCCTCACTGTTATTACTTGCTTCAACTGCCGGTCAGTAAAAATTAAGAACAAATCTTATGCTTGTGATTACAGGAATGCCTTCAAGTAACGAAAGGAAAGACATTTTATGACTTCCAGCTGAACACGAGACACGTCAAATCGACGATTGTGCATTTTCAGGTAGAGGCTTTTATCACTCCTTTTTTCGCCGTCTGAGTAGTTTGGCATAGGGTGGTGATGACAACTAATTTTGTGGAACTCGGTCCATGTGACAATCATTTTGTTTATTTGATCTTCAGGTATTCCTTGCCTTCATTTTGTGATTTTTTTTATTTAAACTTAAATTGCTTACTCATAGTTAATAGTTTGTTCCTTGGTTTTGAGCATTTTGGTACACTTTTAGCATGCGTTGAGTTAATAATCCTCAGATCAGGGTCTTAGGAATGGCTCTAGGGTGCCGTTATACGGTGTTTTGGGACTTGGCAATTCAGTTATTGCATCTTTGCAGTTGCATTCAATTGGCTATGCGCATATCATTTTTCTCAAGATTTTGCAGGTCATGTGACTATACATCCGACTCTCGATACCCTTATATTTTTAATGTAGCATGCCTGAACATGTTGGAGGTATGACTTGGTCTCAAAGTAACCCCTGTAATGTTAGGCTTTACTTCCTTAATTTGTTGGATGCACCGAATGAATAGCTGACCAAAATGGCCCAGATTAAGTTTCTTGCAGTATGACCACCATTTACATTGTACTTACTGGCTTCAAACCATCATGCTCTTATAAAGCTTTTGAATCTCTGTTACTGAGAATGCATCCTCATGGAGAAAATGATTTGTTTATTTGGCAACCGGAGGATTTACATGCAATCCTAATCAACCGACTCTTTTGATTCTTTTGTTCGTTCGTGTTTTTATCTTCTTTGCTCTATTTCTTTTTGCTTTAGACGAATAGAAAAACCAGAGTATGTATTTTCACAGGTCAAAGCAAAATTTGATCCTTTTCAATTCCATATTCGAAGTTGCGATCGGATCTATTCATTAACAAGAATTGATTCAATACGGTCTCTTAACACCTTTTTTCTTCGCATCGGAGTCCATGATCCCCAACTAATAATGTTGACAATCTTTGTGCTGGAGTAACTCTTCTTTCAGTTTAATATGTTTGCTCTCTGTCTCTACAATCTGAGTTGTATTTACTATCATTTAGAAGCACATACTTTTGATCTTCTTCCTTGATTCTGCATTTATATGCATTTCAATTTTATTCCTGCATAATACTATAACCATTGCATATTGAATCTATCTGTGGTTTAACCCAACTGTGGCATTTAGGACTTCATCTCTCTATTTCAGCATTATAAGCAGGCTGGAAGTAATATTTGAGCAGCTGCCGGGATTAAGGATACGATATTTCTATGGTATGATAGGAAAATATTTGACCACTCAAGGAGACCTCCAAATCATTCCTTTTTTTTTTTACTTGTTTAAAGTTCGGATACTTTGGAGTGAAAGGAGCTTTATGCTTGGTTTAGTTTATACCCTTAATCTATGTTCTTTCTTGTATGTGCTAGTTTTCTCTATTAGTCTTGCACTCTGCATTTTGCTAAAAGACATAAAATAGAATCCTAATCTTGAATGGTGTCTTCTCTTTGCAACTAGATGCATCCATATATCCATTGCTGATTGTTGGCCCAAGGTTGAACCTAGAGTGTGGTTAATGTCATCATCCTCGTGATATCACTAAACCAACCCCTTGAGGTTTCCATGTATCCATTTCTATGGCAGTAACGAAGCTTTTTTTCATTCTTCTCCCTGGGGGAAATCTGTGCGATTCTATTTTATCTTATTAAGGGCTACTGTTCTTAAGTTGGTATTGACACTGTGTTTTGGGTTGGGGCAAACTAGTTGTGGATCTGTTATTTCTGGTGCTAAATGCTGTCACTGACGTTTTGGCAATTGTGTTTTTCTATGGTGATGTCCAGCTGAGGAATCTGTTGTGGGCTACATCGAAGCACGATGTCTACCTAGTGGGAGACTATTCGGTGATGCATTGGTCTGCCTTGTTAAGAAAAGGGAAAGAAGTCCTTAATGTGGCCAAACCAGTAGTTCCGACCTTGGTACGATTTAATGAGAGCAGTTTGTATTAATTCGATTATCTTAACTGTTCAATCCTGAAGAAGGTTTAATTTAACTGCCAATGGTTTTATATGCAGAAACGTCCAGGGTTGTTGACACAATCACTTTCCCGGGTGCAAATTAGCTCTATGGCTGTGAGAGACAACATATTGGTTGCCGGAGGCTTTCAAGGAGAGCTTATATTCAAGGTTTGGTCATTGATCCATAGCTGTGTTTTTCTGATGTTTTGTTGTGCCCACTGACCTGCTGCTTGCCTAATTGGGTGTGTTCTTATTGTCCAGTATCTGGATCATCCTGGAGCTGCATTCTGCACCAAGCTGACATCAAATGAAAATGCCATCACCAATGCGGTGGATATCTACACCTGCCCCAGGTGAAGACTTTTCTATGTGCATCTGACACTCGCAAAAGTTCCCATTTTTTCCATTTGGGTGAAATCTGAATTCCTTATGCCTTCTCTTCCGCCTGCATGCAGCGGCTCGACGAGGATTATGGCAGCAAATAATGATGCAAAGATTAGAGTTCTCGATGCCATGAGTTTTGCCTGCACAAATCAGTTCTCGTTTGATTGGTCCGTAAATGTGAGTCTCCTCTCCTCCCCCGCCTTCAGAAATGCACGCAGTCTCTCATTTTAACAGAGAGTAGTTTCTGACCTGAATGGTTTCTTCTGACAGAGCACCTCGGTTAGCCCCGACGGGAAGCTGGTAGCAGTCCTCGGCGACAGCGTAGACTGCTTGCTTGCTGATTCGCAGTCCGGCAAGGTAGCTGCTACCCTCAAAGGACACTTGGACTACTCTTTCTCCGCGGCATGGCATCCTGACGGCCGAATTTTGGCCACGGGAAACCAAGACACCTCCTGCAGGCTATGGGATATCAGGAACCCATCCACATCTCTGGCTGTGCTGAAAGGCAACATGGGTGCCATAAGGGGGCTGAAGTTCACGTCCGATGGGCGGTTTCTGGCAATGCAAGAGCCTGCGGATTTCGTCCACGTGTTCGATGTGGGATCTGGGTATGTGAAGTGCCAGGAGATTGATCTGTTCGGGGAGATCGCCGGGATCTCGTTCAGCCCCGATTCGGAGTCTCTGTTTGTTGGTATAGCAGATCGTACGTACGGAAGCCTGTTGGAGTTCAGGAGAAGACATTATGACTACTGCTTAGATTCTTCTTTTTATTAGGGTTCTAATGTGTGTGTCTAGATGGTTTTTACTACAATGTATATAGAAAATCCAGGTAGAGTCGTTTTTAAATTTTTATCGCTTTTTGAACCGTAATTGGGTTGCACAAGTTGTTGTCGTTTGGCTCTGTTCACGGTTGCAATATTTTGGTATTGTTCCCCAAGCGTATTCATATTTATAGGCTGCTGCTGTTTGTGGTGTAATATAATTTTGTTCTCTTCAGCTAGTGATATGTCATTCGGTTAATTGCATGTTTGTTCAGTGAAATTACTGTTTGGTCATTGTAAATATTTAAATCCAATCTTGGTCACTCAAATTAGTTAAATGGTTCAAGTTTGGTCACTCTCCATCCAACTTCGTTAAATATGTCTGATGTGGCAGTCAATCCTCAAAGTTGACTGTTAACTCAGTGATGTGGCAATTAAAAAATAATAAATAAAATAAAGTTTAATCTCCTACCATTTTCAACTCATTTTCACAATAAAGTAAAATAAATAAAACAAAAAAAATATTATAATTACGAATTGAAAAGGGGCTCTTGCTCTGCCACTACATCCATTCCCCGCAACCAAATCAGCTCCTAATTCCCATCCCTAGCGCCGCCCGCTGTCGCCGTCCTTGCCGCTCCCCGACCATAACCACCTGCACCTCCACCACCCTCGACCCCACCCCTTCCTCCAACTTCGTCAACGAGCAGTAGATGGAGACGCGCAACCGACCCCAACGACGCACACTTGGCGGAGAATAGAACACTTAATCATCATTAATCAATTGTATTGAGAAGTCCATACACCAAATGACAGTGCTTCATGAAGGGGAGACACGTTTGGATACATTCCAAAAACACGGTCGCTGCAATTCTGAAAATGAATCCCCTGACTATTAGTAAACGACGGTGGCGGCAGAGTGTCGTCGAGCATCATCAAATTCCCACCATCGACGAATCTTCTACCAGAGTGGCACACCGGGAAAGAATTAGAATGCTCACCACCATCGACACCAAGGGTTTGTGGATAGCTCTGAACAGAATCGGCAAGACCGCCATTATCATTCCAAGACATAGCAACCGACTGCTGGGTTTCAGACGGCGTAGAAGCAGCATCACGAACTTGCTCCGACGAGATCTGCATCTCCATTTCATCCTCATTGCTCGCTCCCCCTACTGCGCATCGTTGGGGTCGGCTGTGCGTCTCCACCTACTGTGCATTGACGGAGTTGGAGGAAGTGGCGGGGTCGAGGGTGGAGGAGGTGCAGGTAATTATGGCCGGTGACGGCGGTAGCGGACGGAGCTAGGGATGGGAATTTTGATATGGTTTTGTTGCGGGGAAGGGATGTAGTGGCGAGGAAGTGTCCCTTTTCAATTTGTAATTATAATATTTTATTTATTTATTTTACTTTAATGTGAAAATGAGTTGGAAATGGTAGAAGATTAAAATTTATTTTATTTATTACTTTTTAATTGTCACGTCACTGAGTTAACGGTTAACTTTGAAGGTTGACTGCCACATCAGACAAATTTAACGGAGTTGGACGGAGAGTGACCAAACTTGAACCATTTAACTAATTTAACTACCAAGCTTCCTCCGACCGTCACACTTCTCTGGTGAAAATTGTGTTAGGAAACTCCCTACTGCCACCTGCAAAAAATGTACCATTACATTAAAAGATGTACCACTGCACTTAAATTCGAATATGATATATGTACCAGTGCACTGGTACGTTACCAGTGCAATTTAACTCGGAGCTGATATCGCTACCAGTGCAGTGGTATTGCTACCAGTGCAGTGATATAAATATCATATATAATTTTAACTGCAGTGGTACAAATATCGGTGTAGTGGTACAAAAAATAGATCTGAAAAATCGAAAATGAAGATCTGGAAATTTAGAACTCATCGGGAGAGGTGGGAGGGCGAGGAGGGTGGCGCAGCTACGAGGGATGGTGGTAGGCTGGCAGCGGCGTCGGATGATGGTGACTGTAGGGCGGCGGTGATAGGAGAGAGGAGGGTGGTGACGCGGAGAGGACGGCGGTGCCGGAGGAGGACATCGGCGGGAGGAAAAGATCGGAGAGAGGTGATGGCGGCGACGTGAGAAAGAGTAAGGTGTGGAGGAAGAAGGGCGAACAAAGGTGATGGCGGCGGCAGGAGGAAGAGGAAGATGATGAAGAAGAAGATGGTGGCGACGTGGAGGAAGAGACTGGAGGGATGGTGGTGATGGTGATGACAAGAGGAAGAAGAATATGAAGAAAAAGGGAGAACTTTCTATTGGGAACGGTTGAAGGGCTTTTCCCTTTCTCCATATTCATTATTGTGAACTTTCCCAATAAAGTATAGTTATTACAAGAATACCAAAAAAATTGATTCATTAATACTTATCCAAAAATGAATGAAAGATGGAGAGCTGATGAATGAGGTGTCAAAAATAGTGTTCTAAAGATTCTTTAATGAGAATTCAAGATAAGTAGTATAGTTTTATTTGTCTAGGTCAAATGACATTCATTTGATTCAGCAAAATAAATAAAAAATTATTTAATTACTATAGAAAAAAATAGAGAAAAATCATAGAGTTATCTGACATCTAAATCAATTATTGATTGCAAATGAAAAACTAAATCCAAGGGATCAATTTCTAAAAAACTTGATCACCAAAACTTGAACTTACTTCTTGCTGTACAAAGTTGCAAAAAATTACATTTTCGAGTTCTTTGTCATTGCTACACCAATACCAGCCTCATAATCTTCATTGATAACAATATTAGTATTTCCATAGCCGACTTCATTATCTCCCGTATCAACAGTCTTTTCTTTCTCTCAATGGCCTCATTATTTCTCTCATCGATTTCACTAATTCTGCCATCAATGTTAACACCTAAATATGACATTTTTATATCCACATTCTTAGTTTTTTCTCTTCGAGTAATGACAAGGGAGAGAGAAAAAAAACTTAGTACAACCCACCCAGGCACCCTTCCAAAGAAACAGCTCACTGAAACCACCCTACAAAGTCAATGGAAACTAACTCTAGAGGAGATAGCAACAGGGCTTCTAGCGCCATTCTATGGGCAGCCCTGTTTGCAGTTCTAGAAACCACACTAAAGTCTATACAAACATAAATCGAGGTGAGGAGTCGATGACAATCTTGAAGAACATGCCCTCCTAGCGAATCCACCAAAACTCCTTGACGAAGGGCTGAATGACTACTTTAGAATCTTCTTCTATGATGTCTCGAGATAGGGACTGGGAGACAAAGAGCGAGATGACATCTATGGCTGCAAGGAGTTCAACTAGGTAGCGATCAACAATTCCACAGTGTTGGGGCCCACTTGCCGACATGACATGCCTGTCTTTCCTTCGGATCACTAGGCTAGGCGAACAACGAGAGGCACTAATAGCACCATCAAAATTGATCTTCAGGCAATCACCAAGAGGATGTTCCCAGAGGACGGGGAGAGGCGATGGTAGGTGAGGGCGCGAAGGCAGAAGGGTATGGAGAACAAATAATAATTCAAAAACTTGGAAAGCACACTGACGAGCAAGAGTACGAGCATGGGGTTGATAATGTTCAAAGAACACCTTATTACTAGATTTCTAGATTCTCCACAAAATGAAAACGCATTGGAGAATATGAGTTTGCGGGTGCTAAGAAAGCATTGCATGTCACCAATTCACAATCGCGACTGAGTCATTGAAATCATTTAAACCCATATGAGAGCACAACTGGGTAACAATTGCTCAATAAATTCTCAATGCCTCTAACAGATGGGACACCTTGTAAGACAATTGACTCATCAGGACTCAAGGGCTACCGCTGTAGGTAGAATCACTTTTAGGCATTGCCAGATGAAGAATTTTAGCTTAGGAGGGATTTGGATATCCCAAGTTTTTTTTCCAGATGGGGGGGGGGGGGGGTTCAATAATGTGAGATAGTGACTTGCGATTAGAGACTAAGGAGATTTCCCGTGCCAGGTGATATCCAGATGTAACTGTGTACATACCATATTTTGTACAGTACCACCCTTCTGTTGGAATCTTGGAAGGTATCCCCATTATTAGTTGTTATCATGATTATTTAACCATTATTGTGTCCATAACTGATTCATTTTAGGCTAGGGTGCTCTGTTCACTATATTTTCAGAATCTACCAAGAAATGGAAATGATTTGGGCATGATTCAAGCCTTGGGAAGCAAAATGAGAAAATTCTAGAAGATTGCGACCAAACCTTGAAGATCACGACCAACCAGTATGAAGATCACGTTAGTGAATCGCCTCTTTTTGGCTATGATCTCTAGCGACAAGAAACACAGAGGATCATTATCAAAACAAGGTAGATTATGGGTAGCCCAATTGGTAGTCATCTCAGGTAATAGCCGTGAATTTGAGATCATGCCCGTGATCTCTGGTCCCATGGTTGTCAAAATCATGCGCAATGACTAATGAAATTGACATAATTTTGGAGATCATAGACAGTCAGACAATCTTCTAAGATCACGCCCGTGATCTCTAACCAGTGAACTTCTCTCTTCACATTGTTTATGTAAGGGAGAGTGGGCATTTTGCATAAGGGAGGTTGATTTCTGATTTTTCATGTATTGAAACTCCAGAACAAAAGCACGTGCAGAAAGGAAGCATCAACACATACTCAATGTGGCTAGAGCTCTTAGATTTAAATCAGGGCTTCCACTATAGTTTTGGAGTGACTTCATTCTCCATGCAGTTCACATCATTAATTAATTGCCACACTCACTGATAATCTTTCAAGCTTTGAACTGATGTACAAAAAACCTCCTGACTTAGCTCATTTGAAAGTTTTTGGCAATCTATTATATGCTTCTACCTTGCTCAGAGATAGGACCAAAATTCACCCCTAGAGCTAGCCAGTGTGTTTTCCTTGGTTTCCCTTCAGGAATCAAAGGATATAAGCTCTTTGACCTCAACACACACTAATTCTTTGTCTCCAGGCATGTCATCTTCTATGAGCACATACTGCCTTTCCAATCACCTCATCCCATTCTACCTGAATCTACACCTTCTATTCCTAGTCTTGTTGAAGTTGTTGTCCCCAGTCTCCAACCGTCTTTCCTTCATCATCATCTCATCCACCACAGAATGTAGTTCCATCCATCTTTACTTCACCACACTCATTTTATCCTTATACCTCTTCTTCTTCAACACCTACTTCCACTTCTCTTCCTAGTCCTAACGCACTACCTGAGCCACTTCATGATTTCTTTGAGGCTCCTAGACCACATTCTAAGGGGAAGTCTGATGAGTTAGTTGAGCAAGCTGATGAAGGACCTGAGCTAGTGTTAAGAAGGTCTGATAGATCAAGGGCCATTCCTGTTTGGCACAAGGATTATAAAGTTGGAGCTGTACAGAGGTATGCTATGAAAAATTATGTCTCATATGACAACTTGCCACCTGCACATAAAACCTATGTATTGAGTGTGATGACAACTATGGAACCTAGAACTTATGAAGAAGCCTGTGGAGCTTTGTTGGAGAGAAACTATGAAATAAGAAAGGGATGCACTGGAAGATAACCAAACTTGGGAACTAGCTTTCCTTCCTCCATGGAAAAAGGCTATAGGCTGCAAATGGGTGTACAAAATCAGTTAAAGTCTTACTCAGATTTATGGCATAGACTTTCTGAATACTTTCTTCCCATTGGCAAAGATAAATTTAGTTAAAGTCTTACTGCAGTTACAGCTGCCAATGACTGGCATATACATCAAATGGATGTATCAAATGCATTTCTCCATAGAGAATTGCATGAAGAAGTATACTTGAAACCTCCTCCAGGCATGGAACTGCCAAATAGAAGAATGGTTCTCAAGTTAAAGAATTCACTGTATGGCTTAAAATAAGCCAGTAGACAGTGGTTTGCTAAACTAGCAGGTTCTTTACTGAAAAATGGGTTCTCTCAAGCAGCTTCTGACTATTCTATATTTGTCAAAGGAACACAAGGTTGAGTTCTTGTTGTGTTAGTATATATGTATGATATATTGATTGCATGGAGTTCCTTAGGGGACATAAAGCAATTGAAGTTGTTCAAGGGAGTTCAAAATCAAAGATCTGGGAATTTTAAAGTACTTCCTTGGACTGGAAGTTTATAGAGATCATAAGGGTATACAAGTTAATCAAAGGAAGTATTGTTTGGAGTTGTTAGCAAATACAAGCTATATGGATGCTAAGGATTGTCTAGCACCTATTGATTACAAAGTGAAGTTAGTAGGCAAGCAAGGGGAGCCATTGGCTAGTCCAGATGTGTACAAGAGATTGGTTGGAAGGCTACACTATCTTACTGTGACTAGGCCTGATTTAATTTTCTCTGTGCAACAATTATGCCAATTTCAGAAAGATCCATATAGTGAACACCTCTCTGTAGCCTACAGAATCCAAAGGTACTTGAAGCATGCTCCAGGTCAAGGTTTAATGTTCCAAGCAAATTCCAATTTGAAGCTATCTGGTTTCTCATATTTAGAATGGGCAAGTTGTCCAGATACAGCGAGGTCACTAACAGGGTATTGTACATTACTGGGGGAGCTTGAATACATGGAAGTCGAAAAAGCAGACACAATGTCTAAATAATCATCAGAAGCATAATATAAAGCTCTTGCTTATTTGGTTTGTGAAATACAGTGGTTATGGAATCTGTTGGCAGAAATGAATGTTAAGGTTGAACTACCTATTCAGGTATATTGTGACAATCGCTCACCAATGCACATAGCTGAGAATCCAGTCTTCCACGAGAGGACAGAACACATTGAAATAGATTGCCACATTACAAGGGAAAGATTTAAGTCACGGATGATAAAATTGAGTCATGTCAAAACAGATGATCAACTAGCAGATATGTTTACAAAAGGAATGAGTCATTACAGGTTGAAGTTCTTGCTTGACAAGTTGGGAGTTGTTGATATGCACTCGCCAACGTGTGGGGGGAGTAACAAATGAGATTGATGAAAGCAGCAGCAAGGAAGAAGATGCAGAGTTTCCAGCTGTTGAGGAAGTCCATAAACAGACAAAGTGAAATGACAACGTTATGAGAATAGTGACGTAGCCGTTAGTAAGTGAGGAATGAGAGGAAGCCACATGTCGACTATTTTACTGTCAATTTTAAATTTACTGTTATTGTGTGTTTACTGTAGATGAACTTTGAAAATACAGAGTATAAGAGGGAAGAGTAGAGCTAGCAACTCACTCAACGATTCATTTGCTCACCTTAGCGGGGCTATAAAATATGATATAAAGTGATACTATATGGCCAACATGATACTATATTACCAACATAATATAAAGTGATACTATATGGCTCAATTTTCTTTTGTTTTAAAATATATCAAAGTGAATGTTATTTTCAAGAGCACGATTAATCTGATTTTTCTGAGGTTCTGTCTTAGGGGTGGGGGTATGAAAAATTGATTCAAAAGTTAAAAAGTATAATTGATTAAAATCAATGAAAAAATCATCTCTATTTATTGCAGACCATATTCATATATATCATATTATATTATAGAAACAAATTTGTTCATGATTGTCACCGCGGTGGAATTTCGTCCGACTGATATCGGTCACGAAACCGACTAGAATAGTCGTTACCTTAACCACAAGGAGGAGGATGATGAAGGCATGGCTAGTGATCGAAGTGAAGTCGTAACAAGGTAGTCGTATTGGAAAGTGCAGCAGTATGCTTGTATTACCAAGAAAATCAGAGATACAACATTCATAACCATTTACACTAAACATATTTGTTAGGGTAATGTCTATTTTTTATCCAAACCTTTTTCAGATTCTTTTATATTATCCAAACCTATTAAAATTCTATTAATTATCCAAAACTTTCATAATGCATCAAAATATTAGTCATTTTTACGTTATCGTTAATAATTGTGAACTTTTTTCTTAGTTAAAATACTAAAATCTTGGAATGTTGACCTTCATATGTCTCTTCCAGGTCAGTATCACGTTGCCAAGTCAATATTACTAACAAAATTGCTAACTGGAAGTTAACATTTGGCTAATTCTTAGTATTTCGATAGGTTTGGATAATATAAAAGAATCTGAAAAATTTTCGGATAAAAAAAATAGACATTACCCTATTTGTTATATATATATTACTTTTTTTTTATATTTATTACTTTTCATATTTCTATCCAATATAAACCATTTATATCTCGAACCATACCACGATTTAAACGGATTTGACCACTTGTGCTAACAAAAAAAGATGTTGCGAGTTGCGACCCCATTGGGAGAGAGCGTAATAAAGGACCCGCAAACACGGACGCTCCTTTCGTCGCAGCAGCTGATGGGTCTCCTCCAGCGAGGGGCAGTAGGGTCCCAGCTTCCCGCAAAATTTCCATTCCGTTCCATCCATCTTGAGCCAGCCAGCCAACTTCTTCTTCACCCCACTCATGTCCGATTCTCACCCCCCACCATTAAATAGTACGCAGGCGGCAGATAGCATTCTCTTCTCTCATCAGATAGGCTTCACCATCTTCGTTTTCCTCTCCATCTTCTTCCCTCTCGATCAAGCTTCAATTTCCATCACTTTCTGACTTTGGATTCCTCTTCTTCGTCCTCTACCCTCTTTCCTTCCTCGGGATCATCCCTCGTCGTGGAGCTGATTGAACCCTTTTTTTTTTCCGCCTCTTCTCGCTCTTCCTGTTTGATTTCCCGGAAAATCCCTTGGGTGTCTGTCTCCGTCTGATTATTTGGATTCCGAGCTCGCTCTCTCTGTTTTGAGAGTCAACTTTCTAGTCAAAGGTAAAATTTCCGACTTGGTTGTTGTCTTCCTCAACAATTGGAAGGCTTGTTTATTCTTGTACGAGTTTTTTTTTATTTTTAAAATCATTTCTGGAATCGCTTTGCCCTGTGAAATTAGGTTCTGTTGCCGTGGTTTCATAGGAATATGGCCGACTTCCACAACGATGATCCCTACTGCGCCCTGGACGAAGAGACGCAGCTTCAAAAGGGCGAGGAGTCCGATTCCGACTTTGAAGACGATTATGAGTCGGTATGCTGCTCGAGAGCTATTCGTCTTTGTGTTGTTGTTTGCTTGATGATGTAATGCTGAGAATTCGGATTTGTGTTTTGCTGCAGAGCAAGTCTCAGAACGATACAACTGCTGTGGAGTTTAGGAACGGGAAGGATATGCAAGGAATTCCATGGGAGAGGCTCAGTCACACTAGGGATAATTACCGGGAGACGAGATTGAAGCAGTACAAGAACTACGAGGACCTCTCTCCCTCTCACGAGATGATTGATAAGGTTAACAATTGGAGTTATGGTTATCTGATAATTGGTTTTGGACTGCCATGGTTCCATTGGCTTGCTGCCAGTAGGACTTAGGATAGTAGTGAGTAGAAAGGCTCTGCTGGTTTTGGGGACTGATATTATGATGCTTTTGGTTGCAGGAGTGTTTGGCAGTAGATAAAGGAAAGACATTTTATGACTTCCAGTTGAACACGAGGATCGTCAACTCAACCATTGTGCATTTTCAGGTAGAAACTGCTGGCTTCTTTCACTCTCTCGGATTTTCCAGTTTGCATGGTCAGATCAGGAAGCATACACGCTGTTTTAGATAAGCATAGGGTTATTGTCCTGTTTATCATTCTTCTTTCTTTCTCTCCCTTCATTTCTGGTTCTAGGGATCATTATTTTCATTGGCAGATTCTGTTCTCATTTAAGTCATGCATAAGTAGTCCTGCATCCCTCAGCTAATAATTTAGGCTTTGGGCATTGTTGTATCCTGTCAGTAATCAGCTGTTGTAGGTTGTTGTACTGCTGTGGCACTCGTATATCATTTCTTAACTATTGCTTTCAATTGGTTTTGGAGATCATTAGTCCCGAGGTTTTGCAGGTCCTCTGATTATAAAAACATATCCTTTCTGGATATATTTATAGTTTGATTGTAGCCTGCCTGAACCTTTTGGAGGTACGACAGAGCTTCACTTTATGTTAGGCTTCAATTCCTTAATATATGTGATGCACCAACTGTTGAAGGGATTCACGTCTGACCTAAGTCTTCCAGACTAAATTCTTTTTTACAGTGGGGCCCCCATGGACAATGCTCTCCAGCCCTGCAAGCTGGTGAACTTAGCATACTCCAAAGTTGTGAAAACCTTACTTCCTAAATGCTCTTTGTTGGTGCAAATAACTTCTGGTGAAACATGGCTGTCACAATCCTATAGTTGTTTCCATTATTCATTTCTTAGTAGTGATTTTGTTAATCAGTAGACTGGTTTACAGTAATTGTTAATGAGACGTAGGTTCTGAGCTTCTCGACTTAGACAGTGGATTTTCTAGATGGGTTTCCTGCATTTGCGGTTTGAATTACCTACCCTTTTGGTTTAAGTATAATATATATTTGTAGGAACCATCTGGTACTGGCATTGGCATACTTCTGTCAGTGAGAATACATCCTCTTGGTGAAGAGATTTATTTCGGTCGTTCTATTGAGGTTTTAAGTGAATTTTGAAGTAATGGCATCTTGGGACCAATGAATTCATATATACCTTTTGACAGTCTTTTTTCTGGACAACTTTCTTCAAATGTACTTCAATCTTTTAATGGCTTGCTGTAATGCCTTGATTATAGTATGCATATGAAAGTTATTTCTGTGTAATATTACTGCCGTTGCATGTTAAATCTATTTTGTGCTTTAACCCACCTGTGGCATTTAGGACTTCTGTCTATTTCAGCATTATAAGCAGGGTGGAAGTAATATCTGAGCAGCTGCCGGGATTAAAGATGCATTATTTCTATGGTATGATAGGAATCAGCATTCAAGGAGACCTTTCTACCATTCGTGTAGTTTCAGTTGGCTATATAATAGTGGACAGGCCTTGTTATCAGATTTTCATTCTAAATGAGTATTATGTATGATGTTGATGCATCCCAGCTACTCTGTTCTTCTGGTGTGGTCTAGGTTGAATTGACTGGTCTTGTTTTTTCAGATTTCTACCTATTTCTATGCATGATTGACTAGCTTATCCCTATAAGTCGTGGTCTTCCATTTGTGGTGCTATCTTATAATTCTGAACACTCTAAATCCCACGACAAATTGGTTGGAATCCGAAATCATTGTTCAGTAATGGCCTAGCTGGTCTTAGTGTATCACATGATTTTTTTTTTTTTTTCATATTCTGTTCCAGAAACAAATTGGTTCCTAGTAATTTTTGGTTAATGTCACGGGGGTGTTCATAAAAATGTGCCAATTCATATATTTCTATGACCAAAATAAGCAAAATTTTGTTGCAATTTTCTAAGGGCAGCCTTTGGCTCTTGTGCATCATTTTAATATATAGGATATTGCATCCTAAAGTATGTTTGGCCTATGGCCAAACTATTTTTGAATTTGTCATTCCTGGTATTGAATGGTTGTCGCTGAGGTATTTGTGCATTGTGTTTTAATGGTAATAATTGCCTAGTTGAGGAACCTGTTGTGGGCAACATCCAAGAATGATGTCTATCTCGTGCAAAACTACTCCCTGATGCATTGGTCTGCACTGTCAAGAAAGGAGAAAGAAGTACTGAATGTGGCCAAACCTGTTGTTCCTACCCTGGTAAGAAGACGTTCTGGTTAAGTTTAAAGTATGACATGTGCAATTGCTAATTTTATTGGAAATGGTTTTTGTACATAGAAACGCCCTGGTTTGTTGACACAATCACTTTCCAGGGTGCAAATCAGTTCCATGGTTGTCAAAGACAACATAATGGTCGCAGGAGGCTTTCAAGGAGAGCTTATTTGCAAGGTTAGCCAGATATAATAGCTGTGACTATTGTTTATGGTGTGTTTGTTTTTTGCAAGAAAAAATGGTAATTGATGGGTTGTTAGATAGTTTATCTCGTAACAGAGAAATGAATAGATTTCTACCAAAAAAAGAAGAGAAATGAGTAGATTTTGGGAAATGACTATTATGGGTGTAAGTTTGAGAAAATATTCTTATTTAAAAAATGATTCTCTTTTAGATTTTAAAGATCAGTGAGTTGTGCGTGAACGGTTGTTTTATCAAAGTTAAATTGAAGATTGCTGAAGCTTTTAAGTTCACAAGTAAATTTGTTTTAAGATGAAACAAACACCCATCGCTCCTTTTCTGTAATACTGTTTCCAAATAATGGGTTTTCATTGTACAGTATCTGGATCACCCTGGAGCTGCTTTTTGTACGAAACTCACCACACATGAAAATGCCATTACCAATGCTGTAGATATCTACTGCAACCCCAGGTAAGAATTTGTCCACATTCAAACAGTTTCACTTCTCCTGATGCCTGGAAACTGAAATTGTTCTTTACTCCACCGTTTGCAGTGGCTCAATGAGGATTATGGCTGCAAACAATGATGCCCAAATCAGAGTATTTGATGCCGAGTGTTTTGCTTGCCTCAGTCAATTCGGGTTCGATTGGTCCGTAAATGTGAGTGAAAGCCCTTCCCACTTGAGAAACAAGTCTTGGTTGGTTGGCATAAGTTTTTTGACAGTGGTTTGTTGAACTCAAAACATGTCTTCACAGAGCACTTCTGTGAGCCCTGATGGGAAGCTAGTAGCAGTTCTTGGAGATAGTGTTGACTGCTTGATCGCCGATGTACAGTCTGGTAAGGTCGCTGCTAACCTCGAAGGACACGTGGACTATTCATTTTCATCAGCGTGGCATCCGGATGGTAGAATTCTGGCCACTGGCAACCAAGACACCACATGCAGGCTATGGGATATTAGGAATCCTTCCAGGTCCTTGGCTGTGCTGAAAGGAAACATGGGGGCTATAAGAGGGCTAAAGTTCACATCCGAAGGGCAGTTTCTGGGGATGCAAGAGGCCGCCGACTTTGTCCACGTGTTTGATGTGGAATCTGGTTATGTGAAGTGCCAGGAGATTGATCTCTTTGGGGAGATCGCCGGTATATCTTTTAGCCCTGATTCAGAGTCTCTGTTTGTCGGTATAGCAGATCGTACCTATGGAAGTCTGCTGGAGTTCAATAGGAAGCATTACAATCGCTACCTGGATTCTTTCTATTAGGTTCCCGACTTTGCTTCGCAGATGTATATGTACATATATTTATCTCGAAAAGCTTGAGTGCTCTGAGAAGTCGAGGGACTAGTGGTTGCGATTCGGTGGTAACTGTTTGTATATGGAATGGTTATTTTGAGCTGAGCAGAAATCGAATTGCAAAAGTTGCAGTTCTGAGCTCTAACAATGCAAAGCTGTTGGCTGGCGCTCTGTGGCTTTCGGGTTGTATACCTACTGTTTATGTACCAGTGAACTCTGTTCTTGCAGTTTAGTATTGGATCTATTAGCCATTAAAACAGCTGTTTTAACGGCTAATAGGTTCTTCTGTTGCGTGGGATCAGTGCACCGTTTGTTCTATGAAGCAGAGGCAAATTTCAGAGTGTGCATTTAGCATTGGCGGCTAGGTAGAAATGTTTAGTCAACGGACTAGGTGATTCATAGCCAGCAGACCGTTTCCATCCCAAATCCAGTGGTGCCAAAGAATCTGAAAACCTAAGTTAATATCATTTTATGCAGATTAATTGACATACTCGTTTTTGTTCTCTTTTTCACAAACGTACTTTAGTATGGTGGCAAGACAGCCATTTGTACAAACACGATTACAAACATGACCGTGTTGGTCGACCATGTCATGTTTTTATCATTCAATCGACAGTCGACACTCAAGCATGTTGGCAAGCAAGCCATTTGTACAAAATCTACAGAGTCAGCCTGTTGAGTAATATGTTCGTATGGGCTTCGGCCCAATTCCCCTAGCCATGGGTTTATGGGTAGGGATGCCAATCCAACCAATAACCATGGGTATCTTACCCGACCATAACCGGTCAACGAGGGTAATTACCAGCTTTGACGGCTTAAGGGGCGAGTATTGGTAATACCCAGTTTCAAAATAAAGGGTAGGGTACGGGTATGGTAATCGATAATACCCGCCCTGTTATACCCGTCCCGCTAACCAAAGGGTCAATTTCCCTAGCCCTAACCCTACCTAGCAGTCGATTTTCCTTGCCCACACACAAGTGAGGTGCTTGCTCAGGCTCTTCTTGAAACTTTACTTGCTTGGGATATTGACACAAAGGTATCTACGATTACCTTGGATAATTGTTCTACTAATGATGCCTTGATGGATGCCATGAAGCACAAGTTAAGCAGTGAGCATTTGATGTGGTCTGGTTCTAATATTGTCTTTGTTATTTTTTTATGTGTGGATATTGAAGCTAGAACAAATATGATGTATTGTGTTTTTGTTTGTATGGATTGTAGAAGCAAGAACAATTATTATGTGTTTGCCGTTTTATTTGTGTGGATTGTTAAGTTAGAACAATTACAAGTATTGAGAATTTTTAATGGACAATAGTGTGTAAGTGCATATGTGCATAAGTTCATATTTTAGGATTCGTACCCATGGTTACCCGAATACCCGTGGTTACCCGATGGGTAGGGTATGGTTATATCATTTTCATACCCGGTGGTTATTTGGTCGGGTATTTTAGGAGGCTCTACCCGACGGGTTAGGAGTTGGTATAGGGTTAACTCGCACCGACCCTACCATTGCCATCCCTATTTATGGGTGTATGTTGTTAGGGTTGGGCGAGTAGTATAGTCTAGGTTTTGGGACCCTGTATATGTATGTATGTAACTGAATTTGTTGAAGCTAAGCTTAATAAGAGGATAAACTAGATTCAGTCGTGGACTAGTCTCGTTCATATAGAACGAAGAAACCACGTAAATCTATGTGCCAATTTATGTTTCTATATTTCCGTTTCGATTAACATGGTATCAGAGCCAATAACTTCTGAACAGATTACGGCTCGTCTCAACTCCAAGAATTATGCACTCTAGGAGTTTCAGTTTCGAACATTGATTGAAGGGAAGGGACTTCTTGGTTGGCTCGATGGGACTGCTGCTCGGCCTTCTTCCCCACCCGTAACAGTCGACCAAGTTCATCAATGGGCATTGAATGATGCCAAGGTTTGTAAGATTCTCCTCAATTCTGTTGATGCCACTATCATCCTCGTCTTCACATGCTTCCAACCGCGACAACCATGTGGAAATACCTGGCCGACATGTACAGGACGGCTACTGCTTCTCGCCAATACGAAATTGAGGTAGAGCTTCCCTCTCTTTATCAAGGCAGCATGGATGTGACATGATACTATAATGCCACTCGTAATCTATGGGCTGGGCAATATCTTGTTATGGCCTCTCTTCTCACTACTACAGGTTCGGCGGGGGAGAAGATACGTCTTATGTGGTTTTTGATGCAGCTCAATCAGGACTTTGAGCCAATACGTTCCTCCTTGCTCAATTGTTATAACCTGAAGATTGAAGGGGTACTGAGCTCGTTGATCCAGGAAGAAATGAGGTTACGTACACAGGTTGTGCTCGATATCCGACCCGGTACAGGCGATGGGGCGGCTATCTTCAACGCCACGCACAACTCGTCTCTTCCGCCTTCTTCCACAGCTGGTGGTGGTGGCGGAAATTGCTTTTCTGGTTCGCGGGAATAAGCTGACCAGCTGGGTGATTCGGCTTCTGCATCATATTGGGCCTCTTTTCAGCATCGCGTTTCCAACTCTGATGTCGAGTGTTTTCATTGTCACGAAGAAGGCCACACAAAGAAGAATATTGCCGCAAAAGAAACATTTGCCACTATTGCAAAAAGACTGGACATATAATCTCTACTTGTCTGGGTTTGGAGGGTCGGTTCCGAGAAGATGAGGGTCGCGGGGAGGCTCCTCTACTACTCGAACTGCATATGCCACACAGCCCATTGGTGATAATTCTGGTTTGAAGGGTGTCCTAGTGTAGTGACTCCGGCAACTCTCGATCAAATGGTCAACAAGGCTATGTCCACCGCTTTTGCCAGTCTTTAGGTTTCTGGTAAGTTCCCTCACTAGATACTTGATTATGCTTGTTTTAACAATATGACTAGTGATGTTTCTGCTCTTAAGCAACTACAGCCTGTAACTGATGTATCTCTTCAAGTCTCCAATGACGAGAAGCTAAGTGTAACTGGCATGGGGATAATTCGTAATTCTGATATTGTTTTACCTTTTACGTATCATGGTTCGAAGTTGGTTCCAAGCTTAATTTATGTAGGTCAACATAGTGACCAGGGATACCGTGTTACCTTTGCACCTTTTGGTTGTGTTATCCAGGATCCAAAGTTCGGGAGGGAGATTAGTAGGGGTAGCAAGACGGGGTGTCTCTTTGTGCTCGACCAGCTATGTCCCCCATCATCATCATCGGCATCGTCACCTCACACCTTCGTTCCTACTGTCTTTTCGAGTCTACCAGACAAAACTTTTCAATTATGGCATGCTCGGTTAGGACATCTAAACTCTAGTAGACTTATGAAAATGATTAAACAACAGTTATTAGGGGCTAACACCCATGGTCAGTGTTAGTCGAATTTCTCATGTACTAGTTGCATTGAGGCTAAGACTACGCTTATCTATTCCTTCTAGTCTTACCATTATCCACTACAAGAAAAATGGACTATAGAGACAATGAAAATGTGTCTCTATTGAATACTCATTTGTCTCTATACTTCTTTAGATGCAAATACCATATTTGTCTCCTTTAGAGCAGTTGCAGTAGCCTTATAGAGACAAATATAGAGACAAATATTATTTGTTACTGATTGAGAAAACTTCATCTAATATTTTAGTCTCTAAAGACTTTTCTAGAGACGATTATTTAGTCTCTATATGCACATTTAAAGATATAAATATTTGTCTCCCATTTTACCTTTAGAGACATTCTTTTGTTTATATATTAGATTTTCCCGACATAAATATTTGTCACCAATTTGACTTTTAGAGTCAATTTGTTTTGTTCTTAATCTTAGTCATTCGAGACTATTATATTTGTCTCAAAAAATTTCTTAAGCATAATCGACTACCACTTATTTACTTACCAATTCAATTCTATGAAATCCACCATTTTTTTCCTTTTATTGAAGCCAATCAGTTTTGGTGCTTACATAAAAAAATGTTTCTAAATGGATAAAACCTATAGTACAATGATAACCAACAAAATTATGAGTTTGAACAACACAATAACTTTATAAACGCCCCTTAGTTCTTCAGGTTCCTTTCCCCAATCACTATCACCATTATCAACATAATGCACAATTGACTCCCTCGTCACTAGCCTTGAAAACTTTATGCTCATTGTGTAATCTTTCACCAGCTCCATAATACAATTGACTCCTGCAAGTACAGGTTATGGGTAAATTACTAAATTTGGCTTTTGAGAACAAGAAATTGAGAAATACCCACCTATAAAAACTAATCACAACACCCCAAAAATATGCATATAAAGGTAAAACCCTCACAAGTCGAGGAATTACCATGTTAATCTGTGTTTCTCTGAGTACAACTTTAAAAATAGGATAATGACTAGAGATGCAATTAGTTTTCCATATATAAGCACCTTCACCTGTAGAATGAACCAACAAAACATAGCCCCCACACTCAATAGAAAAGCAACAGTCAATTGAAACCAGACAACCCACAAACCCAAACTCAAGTGGAAACGTTGATGGATAAAATAGGTCTGAAAGTTGTTGAGACGTGGGAATCTTAGGGGAAGGTGTATTGCATGATGAAACAAAGAGATTAGCAACATGATGATATACAAAAAAGGGGTTAGAGCAAGCACTCCCATTTGCAATTAAAAAGGATACAATTACCTTTTTCAATTGCATCATAATCTTACACAGTTGAGGAGAAAGTTATAGATGGAGGCTGTTGGAGATGAAGATGAGGCCACATATATGAAATTTCGTGATTTGAATGGGGAACTGCTGCATCAGATCTAGAGGCATGTTTTAGACCGAGCTCAGAAATCATAGCAGCTGTAGTTTGGCTCCTAATCGCCATACCGACTCGGGAACTGGATGCTTCTTCTTATGAAGATCCAAGAAACGGAAGATATGGAATCTCTTCTTTCCCATGATGTGTGCCTTCATTGAGAGAAGGTAGTGAGGAAACCCCATTCCTTGTATAGCAATTGACATAATCTGATAGAGAGAAACAGGGCCACGATGGAGAAGAAGGCAGGATGAGATGGAGACATGGAGTCGGCCGGGGAAATTTAGAGATCACTGCCAAAATCTTGGTGGAAATGCATCATGGAGTCAAGCTAGACCTCACTCGACTATTGACGAAGATCCCTTTGCAACATTCTAGAGAGGCATGAGACCGTAACATCATATCTAACCCAAAAATTGGAATACACGAGTCCCTCCTTGTATCGTTACCTTTACCACATACCTAATGTTTATAAATCAAAGTGTGGGGTCAAAAGTGCAAGGTGGAGACTAAGGTAGCTACTACTTCATGATTCACTATCAAACCAAAAGAAGAAGAAGGATGGTACACACATGGAGCCTGCAATCAAGATGATGGACTTCAAGGAAGCCTTAAGTTAGGGACCTTGAAGAATATTGAGCAATTTCTAGCTCAAAGGCATAAAAGAAAGAGCAATTCATGAGAGGCAACCCATGCCTGGCATCCAACTTAAGATGTAAAATAAAGTGCTACCGAGGAGATAACGCAGGTTTCTAAGTTTGCTTAATTTTAATTTCTTGTTGAGGAGAAGCATTTGCTTCCCCTATGTTTTGTTGCTTTGATGTTTTTTTTTTAGATCCATAAGAAAATAAAGGGGAGAAATAGAGCAAGGAGATCCAATGGTGCCAAATTTGACAAGTTCCTCAAGAACACGGAGAACAAACTTAGAAATGAAGAAGGAAGAGCAGCAATGGTTCCACGTGTTGCAGCACCGCCGCTAGGAAACCCTATCCAGCTAACACTAAGTTTTATTCTCTAAACACGAAGGATTCAAGACATTCCATCACCAACAAGAAGAAGGATGGTGGTTCGATCCAACTCACCATTGTCGTTACCACCCGCGACAGAATTTCCCTGTCCTACACGAAGAGGGACTTGAAAAAGTCTTTATCAAAAGAGGATACAGGTGGTGATGCCCTAGACCCCCACCCTCTGCTCACCTATAAAATTGAGGGAATCCTCTTCTTTTTCCTCACATTGACTCACGAAGATCAAGAGCGCTCATAGGCAAATTCGGTGCAACAAATCGTGGGAGAACAATTCCAAGAAGATTTTCAAGGAAGAAGGATTTGTGAAGACCCATCCTTGTGAGATGGTGCAGGAGAAAGAAGAAGCATCAACGTAAGGAAGATAGAGGGAGGTATCCATTCAAGGAGAGAAGAAGGATACATGGACAAAGACGTTGGAGTCTGCTCAAGCCCATACAACAAAGCCATCTCATGCCATGAAGAAGGACAAAGATTATTACACAACCTCGGCGAAGGAGCTGACCATACATGAAGAAGCCTCTCGACATACCTCAATTGTGCATAAATTGATAAAAGCTTTAGGAGGAGAAGAGAATGTCATGCCACTTTGGGAGATAATTATAGACTATATGTTGATCAAGATGGAGATAGAGACCCCATACTCCTTGGTCTTTGGTAGACCATTTCTGGCCACTTCTAGTGCCATGATTGATGCGGCGAAATGAGAGATCATGCATCTAATAATGAGGGGTCTATTGAAGACAAGCATGCAAAGCATACCATTAACGATAATGATTTTGAGGAGAATGAAGAGACGGAGCTGGAGATAGAAACCAAGACTCTATCAAGATCTCCACATGAGGATTCCTTACACACAGCATATCATCTTTAAGATGGAGATCTAAACTGGGAAGACAAACTGAAAGAAGCTCCACCAACTTTGTATTTGAAGTTAGCACAAATGGCACACAAGATAGCTAGTACAAGGTCAAGTCGCTGCAAGAGAAGATCGAGGAGCTAGAGTATGAAGCATCGAAGGAATTTCAAGATTTTATATACCAAAGTGTATTCAATCCACATCCCATGGAGCCAACCATGATGAATGTAACTAGATGGGATGATGAAGGGACGACAAAACTCGATTGGCCATCTGATGAGGGCATGTTCTTCAATTGGGAGTAACTTATATACTTTTTTTTGTTTTGATTGGATTTTCTTTTTGTTTGTTATTGATTTAGAATCTCGCTAAATAAGATGAGTGTTAGTTGCCTAAGCCCCTATTTCGAAATTTGAATGACAAGTTGGGTAAATCCTTTTCATACTTTTTTCCATAGCTCACTATTTTTAGTCTATTGAGGACAATGTTTACTTGAAAGTGTGGGGTGGAATTGTGTGTTACATGTTACTTGACTATACTTGATACATGACATATTTTTAGTCATTCAATTTTGAAATCTACAATTTTTACGATCCATTTTAGAAATTTTCTAAAAGATAAAGGTGTTATTCATCTAATGACTTTTAGTCATCCCCTATAAGCTTTTCACTGCTCATCTTATTTTGAATCAATGAGTCTAGGGAATGTCATTCAATCTAGGAAGGATAGTGTGGTGACTATGAAGGATGTGATAGTCAAGAAGATTAATGACCATTTTATATGGTTGGATGCCATGTTGTTTGATCTATGCATATATTTCAAATTATTCAAAGGAGTGTCTTGATTTCAAAAAAATTTCAAAGGGTGAACTGTATCTTCTAGAAAAATGCAAGATCTCAGCATCAAGACATTGTTCCATTCAAAAATTTGCGATGTAATGTTCTGAAATAAAGTGTGGGGTAAACCCAACATGTGAGGCATCTTTTCATTGCACAAAATCGAGTTTTGGAAGAGATACTAGTTGACCTTTAGTGGGGAAGTCCTATAAGATGATGCTAGTGCTTATCTAGTACAAGTAAAATTTCCTCCCCATTGAATTAATAGCCAACTTGAGGATGTGTTCGTAAGGGCACAGATAAAACTTCTAACCCTCCTTAATTTCATTGAACCTCCACACTAGTTGAGGTATAGGATCTTTTAGCTCTTGCTAGACCAATAAGGGTAAAGCGAGCTCTCCACCAAAAAATCCAAGAAAAAGAAGAAGAAAAAATAGTTGTTCAAACAGAAGAAAAATAAATAAAAGATAACAAGAGATTGTGTTTGTGAAGGCAAAAATGCTTAAAGGGTATGTCAACTTGATGGTAGAAGCATTCAAAGCTTAAAAGCGTGTATCAAAAGTTTCACCCTTATGTTTTGATATTCTAATGCATGATTAGTTGTTTATGCTTGGATTGGATTGCATGATATTCTTGCATGTTGAAATGGTTAGGATTTTCTCGTGCTATTGTTGACCTTATGAGTTGCATATGATCCACAACCTAGGATAAAAAATGAATGATGCTTCCTAGCTTTCATTCAGTTGTATGATTGTGAGTAATATTTGTTTGGGGACAAGCAAAGTTCAAGTGCGAGGTATTTTTCATGACACTTAATTTATAGTGTTTATCACTCTCGTATTTGATACATTTTCCCCTTCTACCAATGCATTGTTAGTAGTTTTGATGATATTTCATATGGAATTCATAACTATTTGATAATGAGCTTACGATTAACCTTGAATGTGTTTATGTACTATTTGATGCATTTATGGTGTTGTTTTGTTCTTGTCAAGGTTTTAAACCACTCAAGATGAATATGAATCATCAAGGGACACAATTGAACAGAAGGAGGACGAGAATACAAGCTCATGGGCCCAAATAGAGATGAATCCTGACATTGGAAACTCAATTTATGGGTCAAATTATAGTATTTTGAAGCACATAAGGGCCAGACAATGTCCAAACGAGCTGAAATTTTCGGAATAGGTCCATGAACCCAAGATGAATTTTCCTACCAAAAATTGTATAATTGGAGAAGAAATGAGAGTGTCTGGTACTACCGCCGCCATACCTCCCAGGACCTTCAGAATACTTCCTCAACAAGTAGCTTCGTCCTCAAGTCGAAAGAATCCGAGTTCTAGTCGAAAAAGGACACTTTTTGCCAAATTTCGGGAGGATAAAGACTAGAAAATCCCCTTCTATAACTAGTATAAATAAAAGGCTAGGCTAGAGCTTTTACACACACTTTACAACCACTCTACCCTAGGGGCACGAGTTAGAAAGCATAAGAGAGGAGGAGGAACTCGATGAGGATGGTTTCATCATCTACGATGATGTCTTCTGATTCTTCTTTGTTTAGCTAGCTTGATCTGTTTAGGGATGTAATTCGATGATGCTTTGTATACTATTTATATGATTTCACGAGATACCTTTTGTGGTTATTATTTTTATCATTGATGCTTGATGTCAATCTATGCTTGTATCATCTGTTGCTTGAGTTGTTTGATGCTATAATACTCGATGCTTTAGTTGATCGATGCTTATGATTATATTATGAATGCTACTATAGAAGCCTTCATGTGTTTACTCACGCTCATGACACGCCCCGTGGACACCCCACAGTCGTGGCTCTACTTGTGGGCAGCTCATCAACATTTTTTTCAACACTTCGATGTCCTTTTTAGTGTCGGGCACGGACCTCACACACTAGTAGGCCCACGGCCTTGGCCCAAGTCGTGGGCAACATCTGTCTTCACTATTTAAGGCATTTTAACCTCGGGGCCTTCGTTGGAGCTATGAACTTTAGTGCTCACTAGATTTCTAATTTCTTCACAACTAAAAAGCTAGTGGGCACTTGCTTGTAGCCGCTCATCTCTAGTATATAACCTTGGTTATACTGCATCAATAACTTTATGTGTTTTTGGTTGAAGACCAGCTTTATAGAGAGGTTTGAGGTAACTTACTAACCAAATTGTTACATCCTTTTATCATTTGAAAACCTGCCAATTCGGCCCTTGTAGTTCTTGAATAGTGTTATGTTGTCATAAACCAGTTGGTCCCAATAACTCGAGTTGTTGGGAGAAGGTTATGCTGGATCTTATACAGGCTCATGTATGGTACTTAACCACTTCCTTACACGCCCCCTCAAACGAAAGCTGACTCATGAGGCTTGAAGTTTGCACAGGTCCGCCATACCATGTGCTTGAAAGAAAACGGTTAATATTGGGGGTCGTGAGGACTTGAACACGTAACCTCAAGGACAAACCAGCTCTGATAACATGTCAAGAACCAGTTGGTCCCAATAACTCGAGTTGTTGGGAGAAGGTTATGCTGGATCTTATACAGGCTCATGTGAGAGTGGCCAACGTGAGAAATAACCAGACCTGACCCATCGCCGATAAGCACCTCATCCGGACCATTGTAATCAGTATATAGAGAGAGAGTACCAAGATCCGGTGTCATGTGATTCGTGGCAGCAGAGTCGACCAACCAGCCGGACGAATTGGAGGTGCCAGCGGCAGTGTAGTGAGCTTGAGGACGACCTTTGATGCGATAACAATCTTTGGCTGAATGGCCAGGCTTGTCACAAAATTGACATTGCAGCCGAGGTCTACCAAGGAGAGACGGAGCAGCCGAACTAGGACCATAGTTTGCTGGAGCACGAGGTGAATTGGGGCTGCGGGAATTGGGGCTGCGGGACTGACGAGAATTGTCCTCCCTTTGGAAATAATAATCAGCACCATAAGAAGAGGAGTTGGGGAAGCTACGACGTGAGCCTGAAGAAGAGCGAGCATACCCACGACCACGCAATGATGAGAAAGCGGTGGTGGGAGCCTGGACAGGTTGGCGAACAGTGGCCAAGTCAGCTTCAAAGTCAACAAGTCGATCGTGAAGATCTTCAATGGCGATTGGCGTGTCCCGGGCTCTAATGGCGGCAGATAGATGACCATACTCCTCACGAAGACCACGCAGAATATGAAGAATTAGATCTTCATCGGAAACAGGAGCATTGATGAGTGCGAGTTCGGCGGCTGTGGTGCGCTGAGCCTGAAGATAAACAGATACTGGACGATTGCCCTGAGTTTCTTTGCCAAGTTTTTCCTTTAAATTGATGACGCGTTGGCGCGATTGATTTACGAACATACGTTCTAAGATTGTCCATGCTTGTCGAGATGTGGTGGAGGCAGAGACATAGGGAGCAACCCCCGGGGACATAGAAGCAAGGATAGAATGAAGAAGCAATTGATCTTGCCTGAACCAGTGACGACGAACGGCTGCAGCGGCATCATCGGCAGGGGCAGGATGAGTGCCATCCAAAAATTTGAGAAGGTCGAGTCCACGAAGAAGAGTGAGTAGCTGTGCCCTCCAGGTAGGGAAATTGTCACCGGTAAGTTTAGTGGGCAACTGAGAAGCAGGGTTTAACGTGATGATGGTGTTTGTATCATCTAGGTTGATCACAGTTTCACCTGACATGTTTGAAGAAGAAGAATAGAGATGAGAGGATTGTGATTTGGGTGGGCAGGAGGATGATGCAGCTGAGTCTGTAACAGGGAAGAAGAAAAGAAATTGACGAAAAATAGAGGGAGAAGATCTTGAGGATTTGAGTCGGATTTTTAGGAGAAAGGAGTTAAGGAGATCGGAGTCCTAGCTCTGATACCATGTAATAAACCAGTTGGTCCCAATAACTCGAGTTATTGGGAGCAATTGGTTCTTGACATATGTCTCTTCCTATCAGTAGACTTTTGATGGAGAACTTTGTGTTTATATCTCCCTCTCTTAGCCAATATGTTCTAGCTCGTTGCTTCCACATCATCTTCTCTTGTAAGATAAGTTCATTAGTGGACTTTTCTTTTGTTTTCCAAGCAACTCGTGTGCTCTTTCTGCCTTCTTTTTCCTTCTTATATTCGCAAAAGTATACGTACTGTACTTCAATAACTCTTCTTTACAACCTTTATACTTGTCATTGATCTCGATTCCACTCAGTAGCAATTAGATGCACACATTCCTCTTATTTTTGCCAAAAAGGTTTGAACTTATACGGTCATTCCCATCGCAGTCTCTCTTCCTGAAGCCTCACTTCCACCTTGATGGGGTCGTAAAAGGATTCGAACTTTATCTCACCCATGAAGTCAACTTTCTTTTAGAAAGTTGGCCAAAACCAAGTGCGACTTAATCTTCTTAATTACTAGCAACGACAACGGGGAGTATTTGAGACGGGTTCCTCTAAACTATCTCAACCTCATTTTCGAAAACCCAAAATCATATACCCATCTCATACCCATGCGAGAAAAGTAGTTTTACAATTCCACCTCATACCCCGTGTTTTCGATTACCCGCCTGGTATATCCAATAATATCATGCCTAGAATTATTACAATAAATCGAATCGAACATATGTATTTTTTCGGTTTTAACATCGAACAGAGCTAATAAACCGTAAATCCAACAAATATACAACCGTTATCAATTCAAATTCAAAGCATCGAACCCTATAACGTCATATATCCATCGTTACTTTTAGTATCCAATCATCAATTTCTTTTTATATAGAATTGTCAACACATACACATGAATGGAATACTAGTATCGATGAATTGAATTCCAAACTCCCTCACGTTCTCAGTATATAAAAAGAGAACTTCCCCCCTCATGTCAAAAAAGAATTCCAAACTCTCTCTCTCTCGACAATCGACCCCAAATTACAAAGATAGAAAGTACCGAAGCAGCGGAGCACATGTATCCGGGTCTGAATTGCCAGCAACACAGCCCGCGATTCATTCCTGCAGCCTGATTCGCAGTATCTTCTGCCAACTCATTTCGACTAATTGTAATTAAGCTTCGGTCAAGTCAACTAAACTAATAAGCTTCTGATTGCTTAACTAACTGCCTTTCAATAATATCATCAATTGGGTCACCAAACCCCCATGACTTCGAAACCACGTCTATGGCATATGGCATCTCTCATCTCAGTGTTTCTGGTCTATAAAATGATTACAGCTAGTTAACAAGTACTTACATTGAGGTTTGCTATTATTCTCGTAAGCATTCGTTTAAAAAAAAAAATTATGTACCAACTGAATTGGTATCTTTGACATTATGATAACACATTCAGTTTGTACCTACAACTTTTCATTCAATTGAATATGTTCTGTAATATTATGGTATATTTTGGATTCGTACAAACACTAGAAAATACCGGTGCTTGTGAGCATGGTAAAATTTCCATCTTACACCATATAAAATTTGTGATTTTTTGTTTGTAAGATATTAAGACAAATAATAAAACACTAAGTTTTTTCCCCCTCTCTTATTTCTGTATACTTTTGTTAGTCATGTTGTTGATGGGGCATTATGATTAGTAGGGATGACAAAAATATCCGTAATCGTAGATATCCGCTCGAATTCGATCTAATCGGGTAGGGTAAAATCCGAACCCGAATATTGTGGGTAATGGGTAAGCATGGGTTTCTCATTATCCGGCCCGAACCCGCACGATTATAAACATGCATATGTATTTTTGCATAGAAATAATCATTATTTTTCTCTAACATATTTTATATTTAGCATATAAATATAATATTTTCATTAATTTTCTTCATTATAGTGAATTATTGTTGTATTTTTTCTCGTATGTAATGTGAGACTATGTGTGAATGTTAACATATTGGTTTGAGTTGTAAAGAGAAATTATTATCCATGGATAATCGTGGATACCCGAAACCCGAATGGGTGTGGACATGATTTTGATTTTCTATCCGTTTTTTATGTAAGTATGAGTATGAGTAAAATACGAACTACCCGACCCGACCCATTGTCATCTTTAATGATTAGATCAATAGGCATTAAAAATATTAGCAAAAGAAGGTCATCGATAATGAAAATGCATCGAGTTTGATACTTTATTTTACCGCATTGTATGAATGCTGAAGCTCAAATTCATATTTTACCCCCAACGCTACAAGAGGTTTGGATGAATGAGTGGGTCAAACAAGGCCAAGTTAGTGGTCGTGACTGAAGCCTTCAATAAGGCTCTCCTCTCCTCTGACTTCACTGCTCGTCGCTCGACGTCGGAGCAAAGAAATCCCCAAAGTCTCGCGATACCCCAAAACCCACATGGCCATGTTTGTCCCTTCATAATTTTTTTTTTTTAATTATATGTAAAGGTGGTGCATTGCACCCTTACCTAGTGGCATCATAGAAACACTGGTAATGTCATTCATGATTCATGGATGTATCTCAGGGTCGGGGGGGAAAAAAAAACACAAGGTGAATCCCAAATGAGACCGGAAACCCTTTACGAGCCAAACGATCGGCTAAAAAATTACTCTCGTTATACACGTGGGAGAGTTGAACAGACCAATCTTGTTGCACGAGACTACAGAACCGAAACACAAAGCTCGCGTGTTGATATGACGGCTCCTCTGTCGCTTGCAAGATGGATAATGCTGCTCTCAAATCCATTTGTAAGGCCACCCTCCGATATCCAAGCTGACAAACCAACTGGAGATTCTCAATGGTCCCTCGGAGCTCCGCACGAGTGATGGAACAACTTCCCCCATATTGATGGTATACGCACCTAATAAGCGACCTGCCGATCTCACATCACCAGAAAAGCCAGCAGGCTGCTACATGTTTGACCTGGAGAGACGGTTATACTATGTCAAAAGTGAAATTGTGATATCTTCATGTAACATACTACAAATCCACTAAACACAAAATATATACAAACACAAAGTTTCATGTCTTGCTACCGAATACCGATAAAATTTCTACTTTATGTTTTTTTCCCCGACGGAATCAAAGAACTCCGGCACCAAGCTACTACCATTCTATAATTACTTATTATCAAACTAAAGTCTAATAAATAATAACTAGTTATCACGCTCAAACCTTAAAAAAATATATCATGCCCACAGGCCACATGGCCACACCTATTACTAAACTTTTAAAATTATAGACTATGAGAAATAATTTGTTGACTTAATATTTTATGAATTATATGGTGGATGTAGCTGAGGAATGGGAATGAATTACATACATATAATGTCAATTTCAGTGAAGAGTAGACGTGACCATAAAGTAGAATAGTGTTGACGATGAATCGATGATGAAGAAGCGCCTCAAAATAATTAGTCGCAATAACCTTATAACATCTGCAAACTCTTAACGCTCAATTTACTGCCAAGTTTTTGGGAATCCACTCAAGTGTATAGGATGCAATGAAACAATGACTTCTCACCCGCCGTGATGGCCTAAAATGCTTTTATCATTCGTTTCACTTACGTTGAACAATTTTTAGAGCACTTCTACTATGCTATATAGTATTGGTGTTTTAATGTACAACTTAAAGTTGTACCATAATATTAAATGTATAAGTTTAGGTTATACCATAAAGCAATTTGTACCATTATGTTATGATACAATTTTACAACTTGAAGTTGTATCATCACATAAAGGTACAAGTTCAAGTTGTACCATAAAAGAATCTGGACAAAAAGTATAGGTACAATCCGAATTTGTACCATAACGTAAATGTACAATTTTAAGTTGTACCATAAAGGCAAAACCCTATAGTACCAATACTATATAGCATTGTAAAATTTTCCAATTTTTATTATGCAACTTCTGAACTTAGACTATTGATAGACGAGTTTTCCCTTTTTTTTCCCATATCGTCGGATCCCCTATATCTTACCATTGCTCGATTAGTGTGTTGGCCTCATGATACGGCTCGAATCTCCTATATCTCATTTGAATAAATAAAGATGTCATATTTTTATATTATTATGTTTTAGATTCTGAGTATATGATTTATTTATCGATATCTCAACAATATCAATCTCAACTCATAATTCGACCATTGAATGATACCTTAAAATCAATATAATCTCAATCGCAAAAAAAAAAAAATTTGATATTCAATGATAGTATATATATCAAAAAAGAATTTGGTATTCGATCGGATATTCAGTATATGCCAAACACACATAACTTTCCACCTAATTAAATGCTAGGACAGCTTTGAAATGGAAGCCTCCTTTCAAATTTTACATTAGGAATTAGGGGTGGGCAATGGGCGGGTTGGATGGATTTTGGTCTAAAATTGACCCACCCGCTTAGTAGCGGGTTGGAATATATGTGACCCGCAATCCACCCACATATTTATGCGGGTTGGGTTGGGTGGGTGGCGGATGGGTGCGGTTGGGTCGCGGGTTAACACGCAAAAGCAATTCTCCAACTAACCATTAAGAAAATTGACTAACATTTATAATAAGTTCATAGCACATTAGTAAGATTGTATCAATAATTTGTGATTTCGATACAATTAATAATTTATAGTTTGTATCCCAATATTTAATGGATATTAACAATAATTTGCATACCAATATCCATTTGCACAACACAATAACCAATAATAGTAGTCAAAATTATTCTTTATTCTCCATCTTTTGCAGTATATGGTCAGACTGTAGTGCATTTTGAAAATATAATGAATATTGGATACTATAAGAAACAACATTTTTCCATGTAAAAAATAGAATGCGGGTCATACGGGTGACCCGCAATCCACCCGCCATCCACCCACATAAGTGCGGGTGGGAGATTTAACAATCCGCAATCCACCCACATCAATCACCCATTGCATGCGGGTCGGGTTATTTGCGGGTGGATCGATATCAATCCGCGGATTAACCACCCACGTGCCCACCCCTATTAGGAATACTTAGGAACATTTTATACAAGACTGACCATTAAAAAAAACAGCAAAATTAATCAGCTATAAAAAATCGAAGTTGGAAGCAACAACTTGCTATTAAAATCATTAAATGTATCATACGTTGGGATTTCAACTTGGTTTTATAATCTATCCCTTAAGTTATGCGCCGGATGATCATGTTTATAATTTAATAGGACGTCAAATGCCCAACAAAGAGTATACCCTCCTCTTTAGGGGAAAACAATATTGATCGGCCACCATGTATTTTTGAACAATATCTCCAATGTTCTTTTTTTTTATGAGGTAAATTCGTTATAAACAACAAACCTCGAATACTATGAATATCCATCGAACTTATAGGAGCAATTCCGTTGGGTACTCAGCTTTGTCGGTGACAATTTATATCGTTTCTATCATAAATTTATTGAGAATGTATCAAACAGAGATGATTTTAGCCTAAATATGGAGGGAAAAAAATATCACTTTCAAATGTCGTCGGACTAATAGATTCCTCGATATGGTTATTCATTTCACTTAAGATGCTTAGATTACTCTTTCATTTGTAATAGCACTACAAATCTACAATGTAATTATTATCATAACTCTGAGCTGATTTGACTATCCTAGAAGCATTTCTCCTTGATCAGTTTCTCGATTTAACAAGTACATCGAAGAAGTGCTCTGATGCTTCATTTGCAATCTATTGCGTGATATCACCTTTTACTGCTTGATTACGAACATGGTGGTAACTTTAGTCTAGTCCTCTGTTGAATATATGTGTGAATCCCGAAATCCCGAGATTTCATGTCTGCTGAAAGCACTTTTAGTCAAAGTTTGAATTTGTACATAAACCACAATTTGGGTTCTACATCGCCATCGTTGAATGACTTGAGCAACATATCCAATTAAACACGCAAAACTAATAAAATCGATAATCTAAATTGACGTTTAACGAGTGACTAATAAAAAAGAAAAAAATTAGAATGACAAAGATGAAAGAAATTTATAAACGGAGTGAACAAACCTGTAATTTGTGATTTTCCCCCATCATTTTATTAACAATTGACTGAAATCTTATATCGCAGCAGCCAGAAAGATCTCAATCTTTCACTTGAAAATTACACAACCTCAGGCGTGAGGTTGTAGTAATCTATTGCATTGAAAAACTCAGGCGAATAATAATTAAGAATTGGTAGTGGAGAACCAATACAAGATAATTAAATTTGTACTTCTCTCCCTTGAATAAAGAAAATGGCACAATTCAGTATTCCGGCTGCTATATAAACCCAGTAGAGCCAGGCGGAGAAAAACCAGAGAGCGGTGAGATCACTCCACACCACAAAAACAGATTGAGAAGAAAAAAAAGAGAGAAAAAAGTGTGTGAGAGAGAGCGAGCCTGAGAGAAAAAAAAGAGAGCGTCCTGAGTTCATCGGATTAGTTGTTTTGCGGCTTCCTTCGTTTTCCCGATTTCCACCCACCCCGTCTGTAACATCCAGCTTCTCTGAATCCCTTTCTGTCAATCATCTGTTCTTTCAAAAGGATTTCTGGTTTCTGGGTTTGTCTTTCTGATTCACATACATAACATATATTCAGTAAAAAGATTGATTTGAAAAGCGAACTTTTGAAAAAAAAAACAGGAATTTCCCTCGAAAGCCAGGTGTTTTCAGAATCGAGATCCAGGTTTTCTTCACCTATGTGTTCTTTGTGAATTTTTTTTTTTTTTTGTTAGGTAGATCGGCTTAAAGGGGTTGTTTTTGTATATCCCTTTGAAGTTCGATTTGTTGAATCATCAATCTGGGTTGTCTATTTTCATACCCACTTTGATCGAGTATTCAACTCTCATCTCGCCGGTGTTCTTGAGTTTTATTAAGAACAGGCGGACTATTTTTTTTTATATAACTTTTTTTTTGTTTGTAATTTTCCATAGTTCTTTTCCTTTTGAGCTGTTTATACCCGGACATGGCAGCTACGATGGATTTCTTCAGTAGCAGCAGATCAGTTCAGTCAGATCTATACGGAGACGAACTGATGGGAGCACTTGAACCTTTTATGAAAAGTGCTTCTTCCCCTTCTTCGGTAGCAGCAGCTTCTTCTCCTCCTTCCATGGCCGTTGTTACACCTTCCCTTTCTGAAACCTTTTCTTCTTCATCCACCTCGCTTCCTTCTACTTCCTACTCTTCTTCCACTTCACCTCCACCTTCTGGTTATCTTTCATTTTGTTCCCCTTCTTTCTCTGCTGCGCTTCCTCCTCTTCCTCCCCAGCAGCAGCAACCTTCTTTCTTTTACCCAGACGGGTTTTCCGGGTCGATTACCCACCCATTTTCTTCTGGGTTCCAGATCCAAGACCCGTCTGTTTACCAATCGAGCTCAATCGGGCTCAACCATCTTACCCCTGTCCAAATTGACCAGATCCAAGCTCAGATCCAGACGAACCAGCAGCAGCAGCTCTGTTTCCAGAACTTCCCTGTTCAGCAGCAGCAGCAGCACAACACGCTCAGCTTCCTGGCGCCGAAGCCCGTCCCGATGAAGCCCATGAAGCTCTATCGGGGAGTGAGGCAGAGGCATTGGGGGAAATGGGTCGCCGAGATCCGTCTCCCTCGAAACAGGACGCGCCTCTGGCTCGGGACGTTCGATACCGCCGAGGAAGCCGCCTTGGCTTACGACAAGGCGGCGTTCAAGCTCCGCGGCGACTTCGCCAGGCTGAATTTCCCCAGCCTCCGGCACCAGGGCTCCCACGTCGAGGGCAAGTTCGGCGAGTACAAGCCCCTCCATTCCTCCGTCGACGCCAAGCTCGAAGCGATTTGCCAGAGCTTGGCGGAGAACGGCGGGAAAGGAGGGAAGAAGAAGAAACCCTCGACGGCAGCAGCTGCAAAGAAGGCTGCAGCGGCTGCGGCCGCAGTGGTGAAGGAGGAGAAGGTGTCTCCTGTGGCGACGGAAAGCGATGGGTCAGGAGGATCATCGTCACCTCTATCAGATCTGACGTTTCCGGAGCTCGAAGAGGCGCCGTTGGATTATGACACTGGGAACTTCAATTTGGAGAAGTGCCCTTCTTACGAGATCGATTGGGCTTCCATTTTATGATACAAGTCTTAATATTTTCCTTTGTATAACTTTTCAGGAAGTAAGTAGTGGGCATCTGCAATGGAGTTTTTTGACAGTTGCAGAGAGGCAGTTATGGAGTAGTAGTGTAATTTTGATTAGGGTTTGGTTATGTAAATTGGAAGGTCTGGTGGCGCGGGCTGGGTTTTTTGTTAGCCCCCAACCACGAAGACTTTTTCGTTCTCTTGGTTAGTTTTGTAATTTGTTGTATGATCCAGAAAGTTCCAATGTAGGTGTTTATAGTATAGCAGCAGTGATGTAATGTAACCATGAGGAGGATTATTCATAACACCTATTGTCTTAAATTATCCAGTGTCCATGAAACCGTACCGGAAGTTCAATCACGAAATACGAGTATTGCAGGCTAAACCGGTAGGCGGTATTTACCGGTATAATGGTTGAACATTAAACCACGGTTTTATCTAAAAGTACCTTACTTCTGACTTTCCCGATATGGTCTCCGGTACGGTTTCATGGACCATGAAAATATCTCGGCTTACTACCATTGAGAATCTTTTCGAGACCTTTGTGTAAATAAAATCGCTTTATACCGATTTGGACCGTAAATTATTAGTAAATGATTAGGTTTGTGGTATTAACCAAATTACATGAATAAATTCTTATTTCTAATGCATCAATCCGTAATATGATAGAAAAATCATTGCTTAATAAACTTTTACAAAATAGAATGAAGAGTTAATAATTATAATTGTTATTATGGGTCAAAGGTTCCAACTAATATAAGATTGTGGCCTTCGGCCTAACCTGCTCATCCTTTCCATATAAGAGGTTTGATGATAAGACTCCACAGAGGAGGAGTTTAGAGGAAGTCGTCTCATTTGACATTAATTTTGTTAGCGAGAAATTGAATTTCGATAAGCCAGAAAGATATCAACAAGGCAATCTATCAATTTCGAGTTGGGTCATACTCATACCATGCATAATGCATTAAACTCCTTTAACAAAAAAAAAAATAATAATAATAATAATAATTCAATATTTATTAACCAAATGAGACCAATTAAATGAATTAATCAAATCAAACTAACCAAACACTATTTTATCCACGGGTTAAAAATGTTGTTGAGGAAATGATAGGTTTGGTAAACTGGCAGGGTCCTTTTAAGTCTCATAACCATGGTTGTCGGGCCGGCCGGTGTATCACTGGTTCAACCGGTATCGGTTATAAAACCGGCATGATCGATATACGAATCTCTAAGTAAAATGATTTTATCTTAGTAAATTTAGTTGATAAAAATCAATTTATTATTTTTTTATGGAATTTTTTTATGAGTTTAAAAGTTAAGTTTTGATGTAGTTGAAGCCGTTGGATGGGCTATGTACGATTGGTGTGGTGGTGACTCAGAGTTGTGGCCGGTGGGGCCCATCGTATGGTGAGGTGTCCTCTTCTTTCTTTCTTTCTGAATGTGGAGTTTTCTTGAAGATTCTGGAACCATATTGTAACGGGAGTAGGCCAAAATCCAACTAGCGCTTCCGTCCACGGGTTTGGCCATCCATAGACCAAAAACGGACAGACAGACGTTGAAACAGACTGCCCAGAAAACTAGGTTGGACCGTTTCTATGCGTTGCGATATATTCATTTTGAACTGTGATTCTCGTAACTCTCACCTTCGTTTGCTTCCGCAGATGCCGAGTACCAACAAATCCAAAGGTATTCGTTTGTATTTAGCTAATGGATGTAATATCAAGATTAAGATTAAGTCGTTTTTTGGTTAAATTTGTGACATAATACAAGTATTACTTTTTTGTGAACCTATCCACAATCACTCAATCGATCTCTAACAAAAGGTGAGATTGTGACCAAGGGATTTGTCTACCCTCTATTTTTATTTATCTATTTATTTATTTATAACAAAGCACAATGTAAACCTCTAAACAAGGCATTTTTCAAATTCATACATTTCATCAACACATCAAATTACAATACTACAAATTGATTAAATACTTCAATTTGGACAACCTCTACCTTCACACAACCCCCAAATCTACTGCATATCGTATTTTCAATAAATGATTAGACTACCGGTTCAAATTTAATCATTCATTAAAACATAGCAATTACAAGTTGAATAACTTAGTTTATGTAGTTGCATTTAAATTACTCACGAAACCAAAATATAATTTGAACCACGGACTGCTAGATCGTAGAGCACCATCTACCTCTGCTGGCCTATATCACTTCTTTTTTACCATTATTTCACCTTCACGTTTTTTGTTTCTCTTAAAATTACTCCAGTTAGTACGTACCAAGGTTGTCAAACCGGTTTATGCCAGTGTGCTGGTTTAGCAAGTAGAATGGTTCAACCGGTGGCACATATCAGTTTGTGCCGGTTCATGCCGGTCAATATTACAAAAAAAATTATACATACTCATATTTAAACATGACATTTAACATCAATACCTAAACATTTATATTTGAATCCAACAAATAACATCAATATTTAACTTTTATACTCATAAAATAAATAATAAAATAATTTTTATCAATTAAATTCTCTAAAATAATGTCATTTTACTTATATATTCGTATATCGATCATGCCGGTCATATCAATGGTGTCACGCCGGTTTTATAACCGGTACCGGTTGAACCCGGTACAATCAGTGGCACGCCTTCAAATTGGACGGTGGAGATTACAAACATTCACCCTGCCCATTAGGAAACGAAATTGATAAAAAAAAAAAATTCGCAACCTAGAATTGTGTACTGATTTTTTTCAAGGCAAGATAATCGGGAACGGCTACGGTGCTAATTGTACAATAGTTAGCACCGTCCTAACCAAGGGAAAAACTACTACTAGTTTGAATTAGTAGTGATTTAGCTTAGATGTTGTATTGATTTTATAATAATCCGTAGTGATTTTTGCTAGTTATCACGGTGCTAACCCCTATAAGGGTTAGCACCTAATCCCATCCCAAGATAATCACGAGCTACAACATGCTCGTGAACGAAATAGTAGTATATGTCTCACACATGCTTAGCGAATTCGTGAAAACACCGCGGATTGACAGAGATGTGCGACCTGATTATCACAAAACGAACGAGGTAGGTACAAAGGGAGATGCAACTTATTCGTGAGCAACCAAACCAACGAACTACGAGAACTTCATTAACCGTGCTAGCCGTAATATTAGACACAAACAAAAACACAGCCTAATCTACCCCCACGCTAACTCCGTATGCCAAATGAAATGAACGTCCGTCCCTAAACCTTTAGGGCTTTGAAAATCGTCAAAGAGGCAGTAGTGTCCCTAAATCCAAGGCTTTTGGGGGACTCACTTGGCCTTCCTTGGTTGCAACTTGCATGTCCTCCTCCAGACACCAATGATAATGCGAGAATTGAATTGAGATTTGAGAGAGAAGAGAGGCACGCGTAAATCAACAGCTGGGCCACCACGGCCCATCTGAATCAGCCGCATTCCATTCCACCATTAATTTTATGGTGACTTTTATAAACCTTGGGCTGGGAAAGTCTAAAACCTGGGGGATGGTATGGTAGTGCCGTACAAGCACGGTGACAGCCCTTTTCGTCAGCAGGTCATTATATATTTTTGTTTTTCTAACCTCTAAAAAAAAAAAAAGAAATTTATGATTTTTTTTTTTGTATACGAACTCTACTTATTGTTTTACTTCCATTCATTAAGACTTAATCTCGATATATTTACAACATGTAATTCGTGATTTCTTACATACAATGTAGATATATTCACACAACACAACATATGTATTGAGGATAATATTTAAATAAAAAAATGTTAGTCAGATTTGGATACTTATGTGGTTTATATACTCAGTACACATACTTTGTATTATTGGTTTGTACTGTTTGTTTGCAGTGTAAGTAGTGAATATTTTATACCGTTAGTATGCTTTGTATACAATGTCAGTTTGATTTGTATACTTTGTAATATTATTTGGGTACCTTTACGATTTGATTTGTATATTTGTATAATAATTGGTTTGTAATGTGAGTAGTAGTTTTTGTAATGTTTTTTTATGCACGATGTGCTATGTATTTGTATACTTTTATTACCTGGGTTGCATACATTGAAATATTAATTTGTATACTTTTATAATCTAACTTGTATACTTTAAATTATTTGGTTTGTTTACTTTTACCCTCTGGTTTATATACTTTGTAATATTAGCCTGTACAATTATATAAAATTGTTTATATACTTTAGTATTGATTCATATATTTTCTAGCTTGTATTCTTGTATGTTAAGCAAGTAGGTAATGACAACCCTTGAATTACCAATTTTTGCTAATTACCCTGTTCGCTTTTTATGTTTCATAATCGGGAGTAGTTCATATACATAATCTTGTGGTGAGTAACTATAAATAATTCAATCACCATCCGCTACATCAACGCCCTTTCTCTCTCTTGGAAAACCTTTTATTTTCCATCCATTATTTTTAACGAACGATTTCTCACTTGTTTTAAAATTTGGTTACTCATTGATCAGTAACCAGGGGTTACTGACGGTATCTGGAGCCTTCATAATCATATGCTTAGTTGATATTAACTACTATTTTTTTTATTACCTAAGAATCTCTGTCCCACGTGTCACTTTGTGACAATAGGGCCTACTAAACCTGGGAGCTACCTGCAATCAATTCCAAAAATGTCTTCATAAAGACTACCACTATGTTTAGCAACATAGGCATGTGAACTACTATTATATGTTGTTTTTCGAGTACCTGAGCTCATATTAAGATACATATTCCAATTAATCAATTACAATATGCCTTCATAAATTAAATACACCAAGAGTCATAATATCTTTATTAAGTCATACTTTTAGAGGGTCTCTACTCTCTGCAATGAGAAAAAAGAAGGCTTTACTATCCTACTCCAATTAGGATCTCAAACCATGCTAGAATAGTGCCTTTTGTACCGAATCACCAATCTGACAATGATTTCTTGTCCTACTAGGAATAGGATTTGCAGATGGGACCTAAAAGTTTCCATTCACATGGGCGAATCATATACAAAATCATGAACAACCGAAAAATATCTATAGCACATAATTGTTATTGATGAGTGGTTTGAATTTCAATGCACGGAAGTGTTCTATATGTTTGAACTTAGTAATCAGTTCGTGGAGCGAGAGTGTGGGAACGTTGATTTTTTCAAGAATTCAATATTGAGAGCGTGAAAAGAGTGTTAATATTATTTTATTTTATTATATATTAATGATGAGACTTAAGATATAGTAAACAAAATTTTATGAAATACTATAGCTATAACTTCTATTAAAGAAATAGTTAGTTTACCAAATTAGCATAATATAATATTTAATTTAATATCCTAATATTAAAATTACCCTACTCTTTACTCGCATAGCCTCTCGGGATAACAAAAATACATTTTGATTTTTCTTCCACTCCCCTCTCTCTAGTCTCTCTCTCTCTCCTTTCCGTCTATCTTTCTCGCCCATCTTCCAAAGACGAACACAAGAAGGAACCTGCTCCTCCGATCGTGACTTTGCTGCAAGAGTTGGTATCGACGTTGATGCTAGAGCGCATG